CTACATCGAAGCTGACAGAATGCAGTTAGATCTCTCTCCGCATCCGCAATTTGTCAAAATCGAAAGCAAGCAACCGAATTTCTCCGATACCACGACAGTGACTTCAAACAACGAATTCTGTGAAGTACATGCATTGACCATACCTTTTCTTTGCCCATGTATAGGGAAGACGGAGGGTCCGTTGCCGTACTAGTGAAGTAAAACACCATGCTGCGTTATTTTGTGTAGCTAACGTCGGCTATTAATGATGTGAGTATCCCTATCAGGCTGTGCAGGAGACCCTCTTTGCGCGTTCAAGTCATAGACTCTGTTGTCTTTTCACATGAGCACAGCAATATCATTAGAAAAATATTTACAACAAAGAAAGAGAAGAGAGAGAGAGACAAAAAAAAGTTAGAATATGCCGTGCAATATTCAATCATTGCATTTGATTTGTCCAGCGTAGGACTGAAAATAGATTTCGCAAAAGAGCACCTGTGAGGGCTCAGAACGGACCTGATTACTGCTTTTAACTGGCAACACGCAACTATTAATTAGAATACTGTTGTTATTACATACACGTATCGCTCATAAGTGAGCAACAAATATATAAACACAAGGAGGAGCACAGAGTGAACCAGTCGGCACAGGTTATTAAAACGATGGCTGCATCTATCAAAGAATGCGTCGACAGTATGTTCATTTCGAGATTTTGTGAGCAATATGCTCAGTCGTCTGTAAATAGAGAACAGAACCGTGCATTGTCATTTGCTGCGCTTTCGCAAGATATAGTTGGCTACTCATGAGTCCTTGTACATATTTGACATGGCCTATTCAGTTAAATACATGTCAAGAAGTGAACGCACGTGGTTTTAATCCTGGCGAGTCGCCATTCAACTAGCCAGGTGAACGTACATATGTGTATTTGAATATATTTATATTGGTATATCAATACGAACACCCTATATATATATATATATATATATGTTGTGTGTGTGTGTTTATTTATATATATGTATGTGTGTGTGTGTGTGTGTGTGTGTGTGTGTATATATTATATATATATATATATATATATATATATATATATATATATATATATATATATATATATATATATATATATATATATATATATATATATATATATATATATATATATATATATATATATATATATATAGCTATATTAGTATCTATACCTATATCTATATCTATATCTATATATAGGTATTTAAAAAATATGTGGCATATCCAATTAAAATTGGTACGATAAATCATCACTTGGTAGACGGCTATAGCGAGCTTAGATTGTTTTTTTTTGTCTCGAGTTCTATCTTTTAGTAGTGCTTCTCTCAGCCTCATCATCCTGACCCTGAATAAGACTGATACTTTCATTTTCGTTTTCTTCTTCGCTCTCAAAAAACGCTAAATTGCGTGCACTCAGTGAGACACAACTGGAGTATTGCTTTGATTTCTAACTACCCTTGTCTTCTGCTTATTAATTGACAGAGATCGTCTCCGTAGTCACGCAAGACGGTCGACTCTTAGTGGTATGTATATATCACTGCTTATTTGTGAAAGAATATGGATCGCTGTAATACTCAATGCATCTGGCTGTGTGCAGGCGTCCCTAATATTGTTGTTTGTGCTTGTTTTACAGCAAAAGTGGGATCATTAACACTAAGCTTGTATATGACTCTGTTTCATCACACAAGAGAACCACTTAGAATTTTCCTCTGAGCTATCAGTTTCTAAACAAATTATAGCATCCTCGGGTATGCAACGCAGTACAGTAGTGCGAATTAATCTAATGCACATATCTTACCATGACTATAGGGCCAGCTGAAGGGTTACGATCAAAATATCAACATAGTACTCAGAAATTGTCATGAAAGAGTTTACCATCCGAGTGAGCCCTTCCAGAAGGTTGAGATGGGATCGTATATCGTCAGAGGCGATAATCTGTATGTGTAGCGTGTTGAAAGTTATATCATTCTCAAATGTATCTGTCGTTATCGAATGCGATGTTTGTGAATAGGAGGGGGGGTTTTTTTTTCGTTTCCGACCAGTGCCCGCTCTGTCGTCCTCACTCTTGTAAATGTAATATTCATTTTATTTCATAGCTGAAGTTGTGTTCCGGAATTACTTACCTTTTGAGTGCATGTCTTTTCTGATGCATTCTACACCGCCGCTGTATGCGGTCACTCGTAGAGTATCTTGCAACATAACTATCAATAACTATGCCCCGGCTATGAATCGTCTATTAAATTGCACTTCTACGGTTATATCCCTTAAGAATAGCGGGCAAGCTGACTTGCGATATAAATCAGGCTACGAAGCTCTTTTCGGACTCGCCGAGCGAATTGATTTTGCTATCTACTTACTATTGCTAAAACTCAGCTATTGCTTTTCACAGGGCTGTAATTGGAGAGTTGGAGGAAGAGTTGGACAATGCACAAGATTTTGACAACCTACACGGCGAAACGTTAAAGCCCGTTGTTCACTGAGCACTGCACTCTGATGGTCCAACATTATATATTTGAACTTATCACGGTAGGAATATCGACACTCTTCTATCGATTTAGATCACGCTCGCGTGCCGCATCCTCGGCCCCAGACCAGTACCTATTGCAGATTGGCAACGGACCGATTGTAATATACTTGAGACTACATTGAAATGATGATTTTAGAAATCGTAGCAAAACCTGGCAGTCAATACACCGATACCATCACTGCGTATGTGGCGAAATGGCACAGAAAGGCCTCAATAGCGATATGTATTGCGCCTTGGTTATACAGTGACAGATCAATGACGAGATAAAAATTGGATCTAGTAGCCCGATCAGAATGATTGAATACACTTTAACGTGGTATCCGTTTTGCTCTGCTGATCCCCCGATTCGTGCATAGAAGCGATGTCGGGATTCAATCAATTGTTCCCGCATTTTAATAACTGCTGCCGTCTTATTAAAAGGTTCGTATTAGCTCGATGATCGAAGATCGCTTTTTGCTTAACTATCCGTTTTGCTGGAGCGATGTACTGAAGGCGTATCAGCGATAACACACTCGCCGAAATAGCCATGTTTCCTAAAAACTGAAGCGAGCCAATCCTATAAAAACTCCCCGAATTAGCCAATGGAGGCAAAAATGCTATAACATGCGAGTTAGAATTCGTCTGCAAAGTGGTATATAACTATTGGATCGACGGTGTTTATTTGCACGGACTTGCAACAGACACGACTCGTCACACCTAGTCGGATTGGCGGTCCATCCAATGATGACACGGTGAGTGTGCACTTATATGACACATTCGGAACGATGGACTCTCAATCTATATCTACGTGACTTCTATCAGCGGCGGTTATTGCAGAGAGAATTTGGGGTTGTGGGCAGCATTCGAGCAGTCCCTCCCAGAAAGCACTGTAGAGGTACCCCCAGCCTCAATAGGGGGGCGTAGTTCACTCCAATGAATCCTAGCCATCGTCGTGGCAAGGCAATGCAGACAGACGCTTCACAGAAGCCGTACAAACTGACTACAGACTCTCTCCAACACGTGACACGTGACACTATGTGCTATGCAGAAGAGAGAACTGTATAATATTAATAACATGGCACTTGGCAGGATCGGACGCACTCTTGACGCTATACTGCCACTGGCATCTGCCAGTACCTGGCGCTTAATTCGCTCCCAACGCCCTTTTCTCCCTCTTAAACGAAGTACGGGTCTCACAGGTCATATCAACGATTGACTTACCATCCATCGTTGTACATGCCCGTGTTGCACGTGGCAGCATCGACATGGGTCAAGCCGATAAATTTACGTGACTGAGTTCCCGGGATTGTGGCCAATACTCGAGTATTTGGTCCCATTTAAGCACTGAACAGGTACCCCTCAGCTTCAATAGGGGCGCGTAGTCCACTCCAATGCATCCTAGCCATCCTAGCCATCGTCGTGGCAAGGCACTGCACAGACGGACATTTCACAGACGCCGTACAAACTGACTACAGATTCTCTCCAAAACGTAACACGTGACACTACTGAAGAGAGAACTGTATAATATTAATAACATGGCACTTGGCAGGATCGGACGCACTCTTGACGCTATATTGCCACTGGCATCTACCAGTATCTGGCTCTTAATCCGGTCCAAACGCCTTTTCTACCTCTTAAACGAAGCGATGAGTCACACAGGCCACATTATATCAACAGTTCACTAACCTTTCGTTATTGAACATGCCCGTGTTGCACGTGGCAGCATAGACATGGGTCAAGTCGATACAACCATGTCGGAACAGCCGCAACCACTGGATGGTGTGGTGCTATATATATAACTGTATTGATTGGTGTGAAGCCCACCACATAATGTGCGATGAGAATTCTATCAATTCCGCTTCTTGCTGGTTTGAAGTGTGCTGCCGAAGGCTATTTTGTAGACTGGTGCGTCCACGGGTGTGGGTAGTTGGATGAGGACCGTTTGAATCACCGTTTCACCATCAGCAAACGGCTCTGTGGAGAGAGGATGCGGCTGTGACCGTTGCATGCAACGAGTTCTCGAAGTTAGTGGTTATATGTTTTGCACGTATCATTTTGCACTTTGAACTCCATCGCCAAAAAAAACTAGAATATCCACATACCACATGTGAGGAGCGGAACGAATAGGAGATGGACTTTCGCACACGCGCGAAATATGCCCCCCCAAAAAAGGCGCGCGGGAAGGGGGAGGGAGGGAGGGGGTTCGAAAGAAATGGCGTGCTTGTATCACTAAATGATATATAACATACCTTTCAATGATATTCACAGATATAAACGAACATAACAAAAGTACCAAAAAGCCCAATCTATTTCATATTGATATATCACGTACCATCTTTGTTGCAGCGCCAGCAGGTGTAGACCGACAAGTCAGCGAGTAGTTGTCGGTAATGCTGTTGAGTTTGGCAGTCGCGAAGGGTCTGGCTGCCATTGTTTCTAGTTCAACCTGTCGCGCACGTACGGCTCTCCGCCGCAGCTGTACCAATCTCGCCTTCCAGATACTCAGACCTAAGAATTCCAGTAGATAATTAAGTTATTATGGACCCAATAGCAGCATCATATGCATGGTTTTGCGAGCCAAGTTCTATTATTTATATCAGTTAAGTGTAATACGCACAACGATAAAAAGTACATATTTAGTAGACCAGAGAACGGCGAACCCAAGGGAGACTCGCAAAAGATGTGATGTGACTATACACAAATACCAACTAAAACTTCTTCGCTAATCTTCCAAGCATACCGATTGCTAACAGGATGAAGAAGCAGGCGAAGAACGTCACAAAGAATTTAACCAAATTCGGTGGTGGACGATACTGCGTATAGAACAGTTGAAACCGTAATGTATCTTCAGGGATGTCTCCTACTTCGCTCACTTCGACTTCAAACCAGCCAGCGTTAAAGTCATAAACATCCTGGCTAAAGACATTCGTATAGAACGGCTCCTGTGATACGTAACAAACAAGAAGGAGTGAGATAAAAAATTAATTGCTCAGCTCCGGTAAGAACAACATACTAAGCTATGGTCGGGCTTTGTCAGGAAACGATGCAACAGCAAAACCACCATGCTCAATCTGCAACCAACTCAGCGCAGGTACCAAATGTGACCCATCCAACTTACAGTGTAGTCGGCAACAATGAGCTCCATGGTCTTATCCGTGCGCCAGAATATCGTCAGAGAGGAGTTGTATCTCGGTGAGAGCACCCCACTGTTTGCGAAGGTTATATTCAACTCACTATTATCCCGCACCGGAAACACATAGAAGTATCTCGTTTGGCCTTCTGGTAGGGTTACCTCGTAGCGGGTATTGACCTGTAGGTTAAAGTAGCAGTGGCCACCCGGCAGCGTGGGATCGCCCATGTAATTCTCATCGCACACGTCACAGCTCCCTCCATCCACGCCGGGCGGACAGTCCACACACCGCCCTGTGGTGCTGTCACACGTGTCGGTCTGGTTGTTACACAGGCACACCTCGCACGTGCCGTTAAGCGGATCGCCATAGAACCCGCTGCCACACTCATTGCACGCCGCGCCAGTCACATTTCCGACACAGTCGGTGCACCCGCCGGTCAGATTGTCGCACATCAGACACGCTACGCCATTGAACTCCGTCTCGCACGGGGCACAGGTCCCGTTGTTGAGCGCGTTCCCAAAGTACCCGGGGATGCACGACTCGCAGTTGAGACCCTCGGTATTGCCCTCACAGCTGCCGCACCTGCCACCGCCGTCGCACGTGCTGTGGCCACTGCACTGGCACGTGGGCTCGGGTGGTGCGAAGTGGTACGTGCTATCAGCCGGACAGGTGACATTTGCGCTGGGCAGAGGTCCCATTCCGTTGCCATCCACGCACAGCCCCTCCCCAGTTTTGGCCACAAAGTCGCACCAACCGCACCCCGGTGTGCTGTAGCAGTGTTTGTAATCCAACTGGTTGGCACACACCAGATCCGGGCACGATCCCTCCGGCGAATCGTACGAGTACGACGCACAACCGCCGTACGCAAAGATGTTGGTCATTTCGTTCAGGGGCACACACTGGCTGGTGCTGTCACACCACACACACTGCTTGTCATGAAAGATGGGGTCTGTGCACTCCGAACAGTTCCCTCGTGACTCACACGGCACTGTGCAGTCATCCACCGTATACGTTGTATTATCATCGGTATCGATCACTGTGCACAGATTCCCGGCCCACTTACACCCCGCGGCCTCGTAACACGTGCGACAGTCCAGGGCGGCGTCGCAGGCTCCGTTGCGTGACTCTCCCGTAGACACAGCCGTAACAGGTATCACACACCCATCCACGCCAAACGCATTGTCAGGGCGCACACACTGGTCCCCAGCCGAGCACCAGTAGCAGCCTGAGTCAATACAATCATCTTGATTGGATAGGTCCGTGCAAACACCTGTTTCGAACCCGAAGGTATCGGCTTTCAGCATACTATCGTAGCCACCGTACAACAGCACGGATCCGTTCGCGTAGTGCATTGTGTGACCATACACACGCCCGGGATTCTCCTGTGTGTTCGCTGGCTTAACTCTGTGCCATTTATCCAGCGGAATGTAATAAGCCGTGAACTGTGACTCGAAACATAATGCCGCGCTTTCTTTGTCGTCATTGTTCGAATTTTCGTATGCATTTCCACCATACACATACATAATTGGCCCTACCAGCACTGATGCCGCGTCGAAAACGGAGTCCTGCACACGGATCAGAGAAACCGAGAGTAAGTACAAAGCTCCGATTCCACTATGTATAGAGAAGAAGTGAATGCAAGAAAAACGCGAGCATGTATGTCGAAGCCGTGGCACCTACAGATTAGTTTATATACCGTCAACAGCTGATTCGGACTTATAAGCCGTTCTTTGGAAGAAGTTGGCCAGTTGATACACCACAGCGCAAGATATAGAAAGAGAGTGGACTATACCTACTCTGACCGAACATTTTTAATGGCAAAACGTACCACCTTAACGTATAAATCCTTGCGGTGAACAAACATCCCATCTGACTCTTCCAGCACAGTACATTTAAAACATCACAATGAATGGCAATGCCCAAAATAATGCCAAAGCCTCCTACCTTTGCAGAATCCCTCTCCTCCCAAGTCATAGTCTCCAGATACAGAATCCGAGTTTTCTTCGTGGATCCGGTTTGCAAATGTGCTTTAGGTCGGATTCCGCCACTGACAATCATTGCATCGTTCGGCGTATAATAGGCCGACACTGCACTTGACCCTAGAGAAGACAGAAGAGAGAATGAGTACTAAGCACGCTACAAGCAATAGACATGCCAACTCAGAGTTACCGACTAGTAGCTTAATAAATCCCAGCTTCAAAAATGAAGAACCTGTACGTAAATATTATATATATG